TGATTTCTGACTATACTGTCAAACAGATACTCAATTGAAAAACACCAACAGAATAGATCTCCATCGAATAACCTGTCATAGAAAGATAAGACTCCGACAGTCGTTCATCCACCCGGGGACACTCCGACGATCAAGTCAATACTCAGTTATCTCTGAAAGATAGCAATTAGTGCCCAACTCACCTGAACGACCGGGCCAACCTCCAGTGGCCCACACAGCAGCCTTGCGGGGAGTAGGAATCGAACCTGAGACCTCCAGGAGGAGCATACTCCCAGACCCCAGGCCTCTTCCTTCACCCACTAGGCCACCCTTGTGGGTATTGATAATATGTCATCATAAAAATAAAACTTGGCTGCGACATGTTTGTTTTATAATATGTCATCATTTTTGTGGGTATTGATTTCTGACTATACTGTCAAATAGATACTCAATTGAAAAACATCAACAGAATAGATCTCCATCGAATAACCTGTCATAGAAAGATAAGACTCCGACGGTCATTCATCCACCCGGGAACACTCCGACGATCAAGTGAATACTCAGTTATCTCTGAAAGATAGCAATTAGTGCCCAACTCACCTGTCAAAATACAAAAAGCGTACCTTAGACCCACGATGGTGCCTTACTTTTATAGCCAGTATTGACCCGATCCCTGCAGAAGCCTAGCTTCAATGGATTCTAGCTCAATGCTTATCCTGGACTCTCAAATAGATAAATATAAACTCCCCAGGAACCTTATCCTTATCCAGACTGAAGTCCTCCCCCATTCTAGGACTCTTGACCCTTATCCGTTCATTTTGGATTCCAGTATCTCCGCAGATAACCTCAGCCTAGCTGAGATCAAATCAGGGCCATGACCAGGACACGTGGCACCTCGGCTGACACTTCGGTGCCACCTTGGCTACGTGTTGTCATTCACAAAAATATGTCCCCACAACTACCCCCTAGGTTCTATTACCTCGACATCTGAGGTGATGGAACCTATACCGTTTATCCACATAGCATGTCGACTAAAAACTTACTTCTAAACCTTCATTACCGATGTCATCACACATCGGCTACATCTGTCCAAGACTGAAGTCTGTTTTACTAATGTAAAAAAACCAAGAACTAGGTTTTTTAAGTTCTTTAACCGAGATCGTTTTCCTAGCTGAGTTCTTTGCTTCATTAACTCAAGAACTCCAAAAGTTCTATCTGCGAATCAACTGTTACGTACGGTTTCACAACCATTTTCTCCACGTGTCTTCTCCTCATTGATCTGTATTTGACATGCACCATCAGGTCGCGTCACTTTTGTGCGTGCCGCCTGACAGGCACGTTGTCCAAGGCACATTCATTATGGTCTTGCCGCCTTTTTGTGTTTTAACAAAATCTCTTCCCTCTTTCCATCTTTTTCACTTTATGTTCTTTAATTTCTCTCAAGCTTTCTCTCTATAAAGTTTCTTGCTTCCAAACCGCCATTGCCCAATTTCTCAAGCTCTGTAACTTGCTCCGTTTATCCTTTCCGGCGAAGCATTCACCGTTCCGTTCCATTCAATGTCACCGTCTGACTCTAGCATACCTCATACCAGCGTCATTCTCTTCGGTAAGTCACTGTTTTTCCTCCTTTTCAGTCTTCAATTTACTTCAAAATTTTATTTACACTTGTATGCTGCCATTGTGAACCTACTTATGTTCTTAAATCTTCATCTGTGTTTTAAATTTCATTTTGCTTGTGATTTTGCCTTTGTCCAATCTATTTCTGGGTATATTTATACACATTTTGCTCACACACTTGCTATCTTGCCACTGTTCTTGGCTTTGCACATCTGCACACACTTCGTACAATGTTCTTGAATTTCTGTTTCTTTTCTAAGTCTGAATCACGCTCTTTTTTTCTGTTTTTTTGTTGCTTTTTCCAGATTCCTGTCTTTAATTCTTGTTTTCGTAGACCTAGGCTTGGGATTCGTTCTAGAACCTTGTTCCTTAGGATAATCAAACCAAAAACCCCTTAGATTTTCAGAAAAATTCACCTTAGTGCTTTTTAGGGTTTAGCCGAGATATTTTGCCACTTTCCAAACCTCTTACTGAAAAACCTGAGATTGGACCCACTTTGGTCGAGATAATGGGTATGTTTAGGTGGAGAGTGGACACCCTAACCAAACTAGAGTACTTTAGGCAAGAGTTCTCTATCCCGGCCGACGTTCAAATCTGGTTAGCTGGAGAGAAGAACTCCATTATGCCCGGGAAGGATTATATGTCCTTTTCCGTAGTCTCCATTATAGAAGGAGGAGTCAGATTCCCCCTTAACACCATTTTCAGGGAGGTCCTTCACTATTACAAACTAAACCCCATGCAATTAGCCGTAAACTCTTTTAGGATCATAAATGGAATCGCCGAATTGAAACGTCGGCAAAATGCCAGGATCTCCTTGTCCGATATCCAATACTGCTACACGATGTGTGGTCTTAAAACTAAAGCTGGTTACACATACTACCTCAAGCCGAGATACACCCAATACAAGCTGATAGCTGACATTCCAGACTCAAATAAGGGCGCGACTGACGACTACCTGATTGTCTCGGGCAATTGGGAGTTCGCGCCAGATGACGAACTCTATCTCTTCCCATTGCATCGCGAGGTTTTTAGGGATGACACGGGTAAGGACATAGTTTTCCTCCCTAAAGTCCCTCCTACTTTCTTTAATTTTATTTTTGTCATTTTGTTTCTTATGTATGATCTCTTTTTGCAACTCTCCCTCAGCCAGAAAAGGATTTTCGCCGATACTATGCGCCGAGCAAAGACTTGGTCTGCCTTCTCGGCGTGCCACTCGAGCTTCACAAGGCTCCAATCCTCCTCAACTATATCCTAACATATCGGAGTCCTCTCCTCGACATCCCTCGGAAGAGTAAATCTCCGCCTTTTGCAATAACTCTCCATGCCACTTCATCGCTAAGGCCTGATCAAGCCTCAACCTTTGACCCAGCAGAGCAGCCATCGACATCTGCTCCCCAACTAATTCCTCCAGTCCAGCATCAACGCCGACATCAAGCTCCACTGTATACACCCGCAGGCAAAACTCGTAGCCGAAAACGCCGAAGTATTGAGGCGTCGACTTACGATCTAGCCAACCCACCAACTACACTTCCAGCGATCCATTTCGGCACTAGAGTCACTGTCACCATCGCCGCCGATGAGATGGGACGCAACAAGGCCATCTGAAGACCTTTTAGCCGACATCCCCGATGTTGTCATAGTCCAATCTTCATCATCACAATCCCAACTAAAGGCCAAGCCAAAAGGGTGAAGAAAGCCAAAGCCAAGGCAACAGTGACTCAGGTCGACTCTAAGGACACTTTCCCTATATCCAAGCTAGCCGAGGTTTAGAAATGCCCCTCCGCCGCCGAGAAGAGGCCTGTTGAGGCTGACCCCTCCGAAACCACTGAGTCAAAGAAGCCGAGGTCGGACTCTACAGCCACCTCAGGTTCTCTTAAACCTGATGACCCCTGGGCCCCCTCTATCATGATTGAGGACAAGCCAGTCAGAGCCAGTGATAGCGCTACTGATATTGAGGTCGGCGTTGCCCTCTCCACTACGTTGCTCCTTCTCAATGACCTCAACCGTATGGCCGAGGTCAACGAATATGAAAATTTCGCTCTTATGGTGTAGCACTCTATACTGGTAAATTCCTAACACTTGGTACTCTCCATTCTTTGTTTTCATACTAAAAAGTTTACTACCTTTGTTCATTCCACTTTTTCTAAGCGATCTAGCATGCCCACTCCTTTGCGATGCAGGCTAAGGACATGAAGAAGGAGCTGGTCCACAAGACCAAGGAAGCTACTGGCTTGCTTAAGTCTTTAAATAATACCGAGGCCAAAATGAAATCCTTGATAGATCAGGCCAAAGCAGCTAAACAAGCCCAAGATCAAGCCGAGGAAAGGGCAGGTACTGCAGAGGCTGTTGTTGAGATTCTCAAAGCCGAAATAAAAGAGGCCGAAGCAAAAATTGCCGAAGCCCAAGCAGAGCTTCGAAGTGCCCTAGCCAAATACGGGCGCGACTGACGACTACCTGATTGTCTCGGGCAATTGGGAGTTCGCGCCAGATGACGAACTCTATCTCTTCCCATTGCATCGCGAGGTTTTTAGGGATGACACGGGTAAGGACATAGTTTTCCTCCCTAAAGTCCCTCCTACTTTCTTTAATTTTATTTTTGTCATTTTGTTTCTTATGTATGATCTCTTTTTGCAACTCTCCCTCAGCCAGAAAAGGATTTTCTCCGATACTATGCGCCGAGCAAAGACTTAGTCCGCCTTCTCGGCCTTCCACTCGAGCTTCAGAAGGCTCCAATCCTCCTCAACTATATCCCAACATATCGGAGTCCTCTCCTCGACATCCCTCGGAAGAGTAAATCTCCTTCTTTTGCAACAACTCTCCCTGCCACTTCATCGTTAAGGCCTGATCAAGCCTCAACCTTTGACCCAGCAGAGCAGCCATCGACATCTGCTCCCCAACTAATTCCTCCAGCCCAGCATCAACGCCGACATCAAGCTCCACTGCATACACCCGCAAGCAAAACTCGTAGCCGAAAACGCCGAAGTATTGAGGCGTCGACTTACGATCTAGCCAACCCACCAACTGCACTTCCAACGATCCATTTCGGCACTAGAGTCACTGTCACCGTCGCCGCCGATGAGATGGGACGCAACAAGGCCATCCGAAGACCTTTTAGCCGACATCCCCGATGTTGTCATAGTCCAATCTTCATCATCACAATCCCAACTAAAGGCCAAGCCAAAAGGGTGAAGAAAGCCAAAGCCAAGGCAACAGTGACTCAGGTCGACTCTAAGGACACTTTCCCTATATCCAAGCTAGCCGAGGTTTAGAAATGCCCCTCCGCCGCCGAGAAGAGGCCTGTTGAGGCTGACCCCTCCGAAACCACTGAGTCAAAGAAGCCGAGGTCGGACTCTACAGCCACCTCAGGTTCTCTTAAACCTGATGACCCCTGGGCCCCCTCTATCATGATTGAGGACAAGCCAGTCAGAGCCAGTGATAGTGCTACTGATATTGAGGTCGGCGTTGCCTTCTCCACTACGTTGCTCCTTCCCAATGACCTTAACCATATGGCCGAGGTCAACGAATATGAAAATTTCGCTCTTGTGGTGTAGCACTCTATACTGGTAAATTCCTAACACTTGGTACTCTCCATTCTTTGTTTTCATACTAAAAAGTTTACTACCTTTGTTCATTCCACTTTTTCTAAGCGATCTAGCATGCCCACTCCTTTGCGATGCAGGCTAAGGACATGAAGAAGGAGCTGGTCCACAAGACCAAGGAAGCTACTGGCTTGCTTAAGTCTTTAAATAATACCGAGGCCAAAATGAAATCCTTGTTAGATCAAGCCAAAGCAGCTAAACAAGCCCAAGATCAAGCCGAGGAAAGGGCAGGTACTGCAGAGGCTGTTGTTGAGATTCTCAAAGCCGAAATAAAAGAGGCCGAAGTAAAAATTACCGAAGCCCAAGCAGAGCTTCGAAGTGCCCTGGCCACAAAAGAAGCCGAAATCAAAGCGGCAGACGAGAAAGCTTATGTCAAAAGAGCAGCCGATGTCCGCAAGGAGTACAAGAAACAAGTCAGACAGGCATGCAACAAGGGTTACACCCTTGGTTGGATGGCTACTCTGAAGGAATTGGCTGTCGTCGAGGACTCTCCCCTCAGAGATGAAGGCCGACTTGTGGTGTCATTCCCCCCTGCTTTAAGCCAATCTGAGGCTAAAGGGAAAGAAGGAGAAGCAGTAGATGAAGCAGAAGAAGAAGACGAAGAGGCCGAAGTGGAAGTCGACGCTGAAGGTTCTGCTGTGGCCAAGTCCCTAACTCTGAATGAGCAAGTCCTGGACTTGACCCAGGATGAGGAGGACGAGGTCCAAAAGACCACTTCTGAAGCCGAGGTCGAGATTTCCAGTAAGAGCCTAGATGACACACTGCGTGAGATTGATGCCGAGGTAGAGGCCGATAAGAGTGTAACACCACCAGCCGATGAAGCCAATCTTAGTACTTAGAATATTTCTGTTTTTCCTTGTATTCTATGTTTCTATTTTTCCTTCTTACCTTTGGACAGCTGTAATACTTTGTTTGAACAATGTTAGCTCTACATTTGGCTGATGTGCCCTTTTTTTTATCTAAACAAGTAATCCTTCTGCAGACTGACGTGCCTTTTTTTTCTTTTTTTTTTCTTTTGAATGCAATTATAATATCTTCTTTCAAGTGTTTGTATGTTTGTATGCTTTACTGCTTCCATACTTAGAATATTTTGTATGTTTTCAGTTTATTTATTAAGCTGTATAGTCTCCTCGGAGTAAAGTACCTCAGACATAACTTTCAATTTGTTCATCTCGGCCTTGGCTTAACACTTGAAAACATTGTAAAAATATTTTCACAAGTGTTGTTTAAAACTTTCCACTTTACTTATTGTCTTTTGTCAAGACTTCAGTCTTCCATACTTTTCAAGTTTGGCAACCTGGTAATCTCGGCAAGTACACGTGTACTTCCTTCAAATTGATCTCGGCTTAACTTTAACTTGTAAATTTTTCTATAAAATTTCAACAAGTCCCAAGTACTTTAAACTGTTACTTATTACTCTTCAGCTCCTTGCCCCCTAATGTGAACTTAAGTTTCATTTACGTTCACATTACGCATGTGCCTATGATCTTATTGCTGAAGTTAGATTCAAACAAAGGCTAGCCGAGGTTCTAAAGCTTGTTCCTCTATTAATTTTATTGAAAGGCACTTAGTTCCAATCTAAGTTTGATTCTGCCGGCATGGCAAATCTAGGTTAACCCAACTTCGTTCAACTACATTATATGCAAGTATAATTTCAACTCTGCCATATAATGAGTTTAAGTTATTCGTCATGTTTCAATCAGAAACATCGTCAACTTAGTTCAACTCTATTATATGCAAGTATAATTTAACTCTGCCATATAAAAAGTCTAAGTTATTCATCATATTTCAATCAAAAACATCGCCATAGGTCTTTTTCAGCCCAATCACACAATTTCAATTCCACCAAACTAAAACTTTATTTAATACCTCGGCTAATAAAATTATAACATAAACAAAAAAATCTAATGATAGAAAAACTTCAAATTGTAAGTGTTCTAGGGTCTTGGCAACTCTTTGCCATCACTGTCCTCAAGCCGATATGCACCATTGCTGGCGATAAGATGATTATATAAGGTCCCTTCTAATTTGGGCCAAGCTTGCCCTCTCTGGGATTCTTCTTGTTGCCGACAGCCTTCCTTAGCACAAGGTCCCCAACTTTGAATTCTCTTGGGTTAACTTTCTTGTTGTAAGCCTTAGCAAGTTATTGCTGGTATGCCCCCAGCCGAATTGCTATTCTCTCCCTTTTTTCTTCCAACAGGTCCAGATCTCGGGCCAAGAATGCCTCATTAATCCCATTCTCTACTCCTTGGGTTCTGATCCTTGGGATGCCAACTTCTAGTAGGATAACTACTTCAGTGCCATAGGCCATGGCAAATGGAGATTCCCCAGTCAAACTTCTTGGCGTAGTCCGATATGCCCAGAGCACATTGGGCAACTTATTCACCCACTTTCCCTTTGCTGTTTCCAGCCTCTTCTTGATCCCATCCAGGATTATTTTATTGGATGCTTCTGCATGACCATTACTCTGAGAGAAGTTTAGAGTAGAGTAATAGTTCTTAATTTTGTACTTTGCACAGAAACTCTTGATTAGCTTATTGTCAAACTGTGTGCCATTGTCTGCTATGATTGCCCTTGGAATCCCAAATCTGGTGATAATGTTCCTCCTTATGAAGTTCTTTACATCAATATCTCAAATTTTTGCAAGGGGTTCAGCTTTCTACCCATTTTGTGAAATAATCTATTGCTACTAGCAGAAACCTCCTTTGTCCAGTTGCTTGAGGTAATTGTCCAACAAGATCCATGCCTCACTAAGCAAATGGCCAAGGGCTGGACACTGGGTTTAAATCTGCTACTGGTTGATGTATCAAAGATGCAAACCTCTAACACTTCTCACACTTTTTTACATAAGCTTCAGCATCTTTCTACATATAGGGCCACCAATACTCCTGAGTAATGGCCCTATGAACGAGTGACCTACCCCCTGCGTGGCTTCTGCATACTCCTTCGTGTATTTCATGTAGGAAGTCTTCAACTTGTGAAGGATGCATACATCTTAAAAAGGGACCAGAAAAAGACCTCCTGTAGAAATGTCCTTCTGCTGTCAGACTGAACCTCGCCGACTTCAGTCTAATCTTGTGTGCTTCTTTGTGATCATTTGGCAAATTCCCACCTCTAAGGAACACTACTATCGCATTCATCCAACTTGGTCCCTATCTCTACACACATTGCTTCATACTTTGTGTTCAGTGGTTCTACACTTGGGCCTAACAAATAGTCAACCATTATTGTCCTTGCCTCTCCTAATTTTATTGCACTAGCCAGGTTAGCCAAGGCATCAGCATGGTTGTTGTCATCTCAGCTAACTTGCTGTAGTCGACAATCCTGGAATAAGGCTACCAGTCTGACAACCTCTTTTACATAGGCCATTATTCTTTCATCCCGGGCAGCGTATTCACTTGTTGCCTGGTTGACGATAAGCTTGGAGTCACAGAAGACCACCACATCGTCGGCTTCCACTGCTTCTGCTTCGCTGTTTGAGCCTTTAAACCCCAAACGAATATTGTTCCAGCATCCGCCTATCTGGCAATACTAGCACTACTCCTGCCCCTGCTCCTTGCCGATTTGAACTCCTATCAATAAACAGGCGGAAGGAGTTGCCGACGTAAATATCGCAGGGCCTAAGTTTATCTTCTTTCTTCTGTTCTGCTATCCACTGCTGGGTTTCTTCCTGTTTACATGGACATCCTAGACCGCGACTCAACGGAGCCCGATGTGGGATGGCGCCAGGTGTGAACTCGGCCACTAAGTCACCCAAAACTTGGCCTTTGATTGCTGTTCTGGATTTGAATTTCAAGTGGTATTGGCCCAACACCACTGCCTATCTGGCTATCCTGCCTGTCAGATCTCCTTGCTGCAACAGGGATTTCAAAGGATGCTCAGTTAATACCACAATCTTGTGGGCCTGAAAGTAATGATTCAGTTTCTTAGAAGCTATTACTAAGGCCAGTGTCAGTTTTTTCAAGGGTAAGTATCTAGTCTCTACATCCGCTAAGGTTTTTCTCACGTAGTATGCAGCCTTTTGTTCTCCATTCTCTTTTCTAATTACCACTGCACTCATTGTATGCTCTGAAACCGCCAAGTATAGGAACCGCTCCTCTCCAGGTATTGGATTTTGAGAGAATTGGAGCTGTGGTCAGGTATTTCTTTAAGTCGTCTAAGGCGATTTCACACTCTTCTGTCCACAAGAAATCTGTGGCCTTCTTCACTAAACTAAAAAAAGGTTTGCATTTGTCAGAACTTTTGCTTATGAACCTATTCAGGGCTGCGACCCTTCCAGTTAACATCTGCACTTATTTTGCCGATGTTGGGCTCTTCAAGTCCAAGATTGCCTTGATCTGATCTGGGCTTGCCTCAAAGCCCCTTCTAGTAACCAAGTATCCTAGGAACTTTCCAGATCCAACTCCAAATGCGCACTTCAACGCATTGAGTCAGAGCCGAAACGTCCTCAAGATATCAAAAACTACTCTTAGGTCGGCCAAATAATCCTGAGGCTCTTTGGTCTTCTCGACCAAGTTATCAATGTATACCTCCACAGTTTTGCCAATTAGATATCTGAACATCTTAGTCAGCAACCTCTGGTAGGTTGCTCTTGCATTTTTCAACCTGAAAGGCATCACTCTGTAGCAATACAGCCTTTTTGGGGTGATAAATGCAGTATTCTCCTCATCGGGGGGTACATAACTATCTGATGGTACCCCCTGTAAGCGTCTAGAAAGCTCATCTTTCCATACCCTAAAGTGGCATCTACCAATTGGTCAATCTTGGGGAGTGGGAAACTGTCCTTATGACAAGCCTTATTCAAGCTGGTGAAGTCCACGCAAACCCTCCACTTTCCATTCTTCTTCTTCACAACAACTGTGTTTGATAACCATGTTGGCTAGTTTACCTCTCGAATGGCTTTGGCATCTAGCAATTTATCTTCCTCCTCTTCTATTGCCTCAACATGCATCAAGGTTGGCCTTCTAGCTCGTTGAATGACAGGTTTAGCCGACCTGTCCACATTCAGTCGATGACAAGTGACCTCGGGGTCGATGCCAGGCATCTCGTACGGTGTCCAGGAAAACACCTCAATGTTTGCTCACAAAAACACCTCTAACTCATTTTCCTCCTCCTCGGTCAAGCTTGAGCCGAGAAGAAAGAAGCACTCTTCATCCCCTTGCTGGACCAGGATCTTTGTTGGGGCTTCCTCGCTTTTGTCGACCAGTTCCTTGCCGACGTCATCCAAGACCTCTATGTCCTCGTCCTCAATTTTTGCTGATTTTGCTTCTCACACGTTGCAGGTGGATTTCATTACTGTCATGGAGCAATTCTTTACCTGCATCTGATCCCTTCTGACCTCCTCAATTCCATACTCTATTGGGAACCGCAATAGCTGGTACAGTGTTGAGGGAATAACCCCCATTGAATGCAGCCATGGCCTTTCCAAGATAACATTGTAAGGGGAGGGGGTGTCAATTATTGTGAACTCTATATTTACCTTCTTGGTGCCAGCCTACATCTCCAAACTTATTGCTCCCGGGGGCCACGTCGACGTTCCGTTGAACCCAACCATTAGACCACTAGATTGCTCCAGATCATCTTGGTGAGGGCCAAGCTCCTTGTAACATCTGACATACATGATGTCACAAGAGCTACCCTGGTCAATTAGAATGCGCTTTACCTAGAATTCTCCAACCTTGAGAGATATTACCAGAGCATCATTATGTGGATGCTACACCATCTCTAGGTCGTCTTCAGTAAAGGACACCATTGGTCTCTGGCACTCGTCTGCCCCTGGTCTTTTCTGTCGAACCTGATACATATGCTGTAAGTGTTTCACCTTCTGAGTCTCCTCACA